AACTCAAACCATTCTATGAATCTATAACTGAGGCCAAGACGATGCTCTGAAATCACCTAATTCTGGGAATAGAGTGAACTTAATCCCACACAACAGCAGCTTTTCCAATATGTAACACTATAGCGAAGGTGATTGTCTGTTTGAACTTTAAGCTCTTCAAATGTCACCCTCTTTGAGTATCACTCAAGAACATCAGTGTCAGAGGGAAGCTGGAAACTGAATTCCAGGCCGCTGGCCCACTGTACCTTCCAATTTTATGGGTTTGGGGTTTTTCAGAATGAATGTTTAAGTGCACAGCATGGAAAGGACTTACAGCACTATACCAATGCCCACAAGTGTCACATTCAGTTCCTGTGGCACTAAATATTTTTATTTTACAGATCCCTTAATTTAATAATTAAATTTAAAACCCACAGTTAAGGTACCTTTTGTTTGCATTTTTCCCTGTCCTGTTATTTCATGAGAAGGTCTCATATTCCCAGATATTGCTGCTAGAAAGTAAACAGCCCAATAACCCAGCTCCACCTGGTGGAGGCTAAAACCAGACAAATTTAACTCTAGCATCTCCAAAAAGGGAAATCAAAACTATAAAAGAACAACCTGGGTAAAAATCAAAAGATGATTATCCCATGAGGCAGCAGCTTTCTCCTCAAAAACCTGCAGACTTCCACCAATGCGTAAGTGTACATGTAATCAAGAATCCAATGAATCCAATGTCTTTCCACGTTTAAGCCAACTCTATCCTTCAGACGTATGTAGAGGCAGCATTAATTACTTACCTGGATAATATCCGAGAGCTTATGCAATCCAGATGTGTTGATAAACGGCCCAGTACCTGGAGAGTACAAGGCATGATTACTTTTACAGCACAAACACACACCCATTTGTATACACCCTTATCTTATTTCAACAGCACAACTCTGGATACTAGGACTTAAAAATTTAATTGAAACAAATAAATAATTTTGAGTTTATGATTATTATTTAAGGTGCAAGGAGAAACATAACACTGTCATGCCAAGGAAAGTGTCACAGCTGACACATTGGGAAGCTGAGACCATTACACACACTTCTTAAGGCTCCTCTACATTAAAAACTGGAAAGGACATAATTAAGACAAAGATAAGCGTGCTTGAACTGTTACCTTTTGAAAAACTCACACAACTAGTATTAGTCTCATGAACAAGAGAATAGAAAACTGACTACCCTGTTTGCAAACAGACCCAACCAAGCTTTGCTACAGCTATAAACAACATCACCTCCAAGCTTCTGGGGTGCTTAAAACAGTGACTACGGAAGAGCAGCTAGAACAACTCAGGAAATACACTGATGATGAGAGCTTGGCCACAGAAATGGTAAACAGTTGCACCAGTTAAGCCAGAGTGTAAATGGCCTAGAAGGAGAAAGATGCTGGGGGAAAACCAAAAAGGCAGGATAGGTTTGTTCCCAAAGGATGCGCTTGCAGAACCAACAGTCTGTTCCAGTCCCCATGGAGCAGGATTGCTCTCCCCAGTGCTTCTACTGAAGAATCTGCTAGTAAGAACTCACTAAACCATTTTCTTAGCACATGTAGAAGTTGGTGATTTTCCTTGCAGGAGGGTAAATTAAGAACAAGATGCTGATAGCATCACAAAATCTTGCTAAATCAGGAAAATGACTGCACATTATATGATTCTCAACACTCCTGCTTCCTAACTCCAACCCCAAGGAAGAACTGAAGACACTAAAAGCACCATCAGAAAGACATCAACAAGCTCCACCCCACAGTTCTTCTGGTTTTGGAGAACAGTGTCGAGTGCAAAACTCCCCCATGTACACACACATGTGTACACACGTAAATTGGTACAGACACAGGTTTTGACACGAAGCTGTTCTTAAACTGGTCCTGTTGTATGAACAGACATAACACGTTTCCCAGCAGAGGACTTTGCAGCAAGTCTTATTATTTAAGACACAGGTCCTCAGGGTCAGATTTTTAAAAGATTGATAATTTAAGTCTAAAAGAAGCCTTTCTCCACACCATGAGCTACACAAACTCCCAATTACTTACATTACAGAGAAAAGTCTGAGGGAAACAATAACATATTTACACTTACGGCCTGAAAGAAACTGTAAGATCTGCTCTAGTGAATCCAAGAGTGAGGATTTGGTCTGGAATGTTATTTGGGCTTCTGCAAACAGATCAAAGATGTAGCTGCAATTTACAAAGAAAAAGCACAAATGGGTAAACACTGTATATAATTATGGACACAGTTACTGTCACTCTTTTCAAGCAACAACAATTTTCACCACCTCATAGCAAAACATGCTCTTGTCTCCATGAGAAAGAAATCTACAGGAATAAAAATAAGTATGCAGTTGTAGACAGCTGACAATACTGACGTGACCAAAAGCACACCGACCACATCCTTCACATCTCCCCGGATTTCTATACAACACAAAGTATTAATTTAGAAACAGACTGGCCAGCAATTTCCATGATTTTTTTTTTTTTTTTAAACAGCATACAATATGGATTAGTTTAGAAATAGACCTACAGAGCCCTGAGGTACCCTCCAACCGAGTCAGTGGAGCACTAGCACCTCTGTTTAAATAATGATGGCAAAATTCAAAGCAGCACGGCGAGAAGCTTCTCCCAGTTCAGAATACCTGATACCACAGCATCGGATTTTCCACTCCTGAAACACTTAAGGAGGGAGTTCCAGCATAAGTAGTGATTAATACATAAAGAGGATTTAAGGAGACCCAAAACGCTGAATGAATACTATTCCCAGAATCTAGTACCAGTCGCACCAGCTGCCCCAGTTTCACCTGGGTCTAGAATCTGCTGGGTTTTTAACATGTAAACACATTAACGAGAAGAAGATTACCTTCCCTCTTTGGTGACTCCACTATCATCTGGTGGCAGCTGCACTGCATCGATGGCACTTTCCAACTGAAGAAGAATTTCTTTAAGAGAACCAGGAGAGAAAACAAGTGAGGTTCACAGAAACTCACTTCTGGCACATGTCTCAGCCCCTTTTTCCCCATGTGCATTATTACAAAGGCTGTTACCAAAGACAGCAACCTAATTGTTTACGTGATCCTGTAAACAAGTCAAAATGATCAAAACCAACTTCCTAGATATCATCTCCACATCTTCATATTAAGCTTTAAGACCTTCTGTGACCTCAATTCTTTGATGAAGCCTGTGATGCTCTTAGAAAATACAGCTGCCAGTAGGCAAAGCTGTTCTTGGAAATGCCTGGTAGACAGCTCAAGCTCTTGCTATCAGCTTTATGCAGCATCACATTCTTAGAGCAGAATGATGCAACCAACACATTTCCAGCACACTGACAAGATCAGAAAACAAGGGAACTTCTAGCAAAGGAGGAAGTGACGCATTCATCTGCCAAATCTCTCATCTTCTGGGGAGAAAAATTCTCCGAAAGAGACAAGTTAAGCTTCCATGAATTTCACAATTATAAGCAACATCTGCAGAAATGCCACATGAACCCCATTCACAGCCGTTGACCTTTCGAAACTGTTTCAAAAGACAAAGAAGAACCTTACTCTTTATCTTCGCTATATCTTCAAGTTCCATGTTCAGCCCTGTTGAAGAAAGGGAAGATTTCAAAGGCTGAGTCAGGTCTGCCTCATTCCTAGTTTTGTTATGCCTTTTCAGAAATAAAGGGTATGATGTCTAGAACTGTGTGTATGGAAAGACATGATAGAATCATGGAATGACTGCAGAATCAGAGGTTCACAGAATTCCACAGAATCATCTGTATTCCACGTGCTGTTCTCTTTCACGACCCTTCATGTCACATTGCCTTGGCCAAATCTTTTCATATGTTTGGCAGTGATTAGTAATTAATCATAATTTATCTACCAGCGAGAGTACATTTTCTGGAAACTGTTAGGAAGTTATTTTTCCAGTTCTTGGTAGTGTGCCATGGTTTAATCCCAGCCAGCACTTAAGCATCACCCAGCCACTTGCTCACCTCCTCCTTCCCCCGTGGGGATGGGGGGCAGGATTGGAGGAAGATACAAGGAAACTTTGTGGGTTGAGATAAGAAAAATTGAGTAACTGAATATGCATTAATAAAATAGCAATACCAACAACACTAATATTAGTACTAGCAATATGTAATGAAAATACCACCACCACTAATAATAGTATGTAATAAAAATAATGGAAAATAAAACAAGTGATACAACCACTCACCACCCACCAACCATCACCCAGCCAAGTCCTGTGAAGCAAGAGCCAGAGCCCAAGAGAGATCACACCGGAGCGAATGAGAAAGCCAACCAATATGGCCCCCAACCCACCCCCAGTTTATACACCAAGCATGATGTTCGAGGGCATGAAACATCCCTTTGGTCAGTTTGGGTCAGCTGTCCTGGCTGTGTCCCCTTCCAGCTTCCTGCAGAGAATGTAGAAACACGGACACAGTCCCAGGAGCCGAAAAAGTCCTTGGCTTGGTACAAACACTCCTCAGCAACAACTAAGAATACTGCCATTGTTGCTACCCTGCGCAAATCCAAAACGCGGCCTCCTACCAGCCACTGTGAGGAAAGTTAACTGACCCAACCAAACCCCGCACATAGCAGCGCCCTGTAAGCCCACAGAAACAGTGGGTTGTGGTTGTCAACACACCTGAATTGTCCAACTCCATATTGAATTCCGCATTTATTTCATTCTGCTGAACTACTTTGGCTTGTTCTTCCAGTATGACATTCACAGCATCCATTGCCGAAGCCAAGTCGTAGGGTGTCAAATCAAAAGAAGACGACTCCTCACACAACTTCTCCTAAAATATCAAGGAATTGCAGCATTACTTGGACTGCCCAGTGTGGTGTTGGCTCAGGCAATTTCACAGATAAGTCCAGATGCCCAGCTTGAGATCATCTGGTATCATTCAGGATCTAGACCAGATGGAGCGAGTCCAGAGGACACCATGGATACACTCCAAGGGCTGGAGCCCCTCTGCCATGGGGACAGGCTGGGAGGGTTGGGGGGTTCAGCCTGGAGAAGGGAAGCTCTGGGGAGCCCTTAGAGCCCCTTCCAGTGCCTGGGGGGCTACAAGAAAGCTGAGTGGCTGCTGCCACGTGAAGGGAGTGACAGGACAAGGGGTAACAGCTTTAAATGGAAAGAGAGAGATTGAGATGGGACATCAGGAAGGAATTCTTCCCGCAGAGGGTGGGAGCACTGGGACAGGTTCCCAGAGAAGGTGTGGATGCCCCATCCCTGGGAGGGTCCAAGGCCAGGCTGGATGAAGCTGGGAGCAACCTGGTCTAGTGGACGGTGTCCCTGCCCATGGCAGGGGGTGGGACTGGGTGGGCTTTAAGGTCCCTTCCCACCCAAACCATTCTGGGATTCTATGATTTATCGTCTCCAGCTCAGGCCAGTGGACATTTTACAAACACCTGAAGACTTTGACTATTACTAGGCATCCTTTTTCCTGAAACGTAGAACAGATTTTGCCTCTTCCCCATTACCAACATTCTACCATTCCCATCTAGGAGCAAATCCCTGCATTAAGATCCCTTTGTTTTTTAATAGGTATCACCTCCTATGTTCTTAGCAATGATGCTAATAGATTTTTTTTTTTAATATCCTTTTGTTTCTCTCCCACACAGCTGCCAAACAGCTTGCCACCTGATGTCAGACTGTCCAAGTGAAAGTTTTTTTAGTTACAGAATCAGTTTGTTCATTGAAAGGGCTACTTCCTGGTCCCTCTCACACTCCAGAAATACTCGTATCCCTATATTCACCCATCTGAAGACATGGCCCTCACCCCTCATGATCTTGCAATGAGATGGGGGCACGGAGACAAAAAAAGGAAAGGGGGGCCATGAAAAAAAAAGAAAAGACAAAACCAAAACCAACAAAACCCACAGTAAACCTGTAAAATTTGGGCCAAGGCATATGCCAGAACAATTATTACAGGGATACTATAGTATCCCTACAATATCCATACCTTCTATAAAAAAAAAAAATAATGGTTTCAACACTCGACTAAGTTGGACAAAACCCTCTATGACCTTGAAAAATACATCACATAACATTTTGTCACAAGTTTTTCATTCGTAAGAATCGTCATCCCTGAGGAATGACAAGAAATATTATCCTGCACAAAAATTTGATTGCAATAGCTATGAAAAGCTGTAAAGAAAGAAACGTTAAAAGGAGCTGCATGTGTAAAGCAGTCTAAACAGAAAAGTCAATTTAATTTCAGAGCAATTACTAAGTTTCCACATATTAATGTGGAACAGAAAGTACCGTGAGTGAAGTATTGCAAAACAAGTCACTCTAGAATAGCTTTTCTGGTTTAATTTTTGCATTTTTAAACACTACAAAGGGAAAAAACACACCCAAAAAAGCCCAAAACCCAAGCAACTATGACTGGATTTCCACTCATTTTTCAGCAGAAAAATAGAGGTTCTCACACAAGGAGCACAGCCTGGACACAACTCTGCAACTCTCTCTAGTCGAGCCCGGCACACTCTCGGGTGGCCGTTTACTGCGAGGAAAACATGCTATCAGAAAGGAAACTTCGCAGCTGTTTAGCAGAAATCCCACTAGGAGGTTGTTCTCATGGCAGAGAAAAGGGATGTATTTCAAACGTTCCTTTGCGTTTCATTATTTAGGCAAAGGGCTGCAGCCTCGTGACAATTAAGAGGAAGATCTCATAATGCAGCTTTTTCCTTGATCTTTCTTTTTTTCCCCTTCTACAAGCAAAGACTTGGAAGCACTACAAGAGTCACGTTTGCCATCTACTGCACTTGGAGAGCTGATGCAGCTGAGCTTCAAGAATGAAGCTTTCACATTTTCTTACACCCTGGAACAGAACCCTCCAAACAAGAATGCGAGTGACCTCAACTTTGGAGATCCACCCTCCAGCAAGAAGACATCACCTTGCAGACCACCACAGTGGTGTCAAAGAACTGCTAATTAATTACAGAGCTTTGACTGCGACAGGAAACGTTCATGATAACAAACATCAGAGCTGAGCACAGATCTTACCGCCTGTTCGTAGGAGGAGACAGGTCGGCTTTTCTCTTTGCATGAAGTCTGAAAACTGGCAACAGAAACAACTTACCACATTGTGAGCTTCATCGAGTATCACCACAGTCCCCTTCAGGTCCAAGCTGTGTGCTCTCCGGCTCTGAAGGCAAAAAAGAGAATGAGGGAATGGACAGAAAAGCCACCAAGACATACAGATTTGACCGAGAAATTGGCTCACGAGACAGATTTCGGTTTTCATACATTTTGAAGTTTTATTTGAGATTGCAGCAAGGAAGCGCTGTGGCTGCCTCAAATATAAACCACAAAATTGCTTTCTCTGGAAATGAAGGTGCCGAAACGCACCACATAAAATTTAAAGGCTGTGACAACTGACATGGTAACCAAGAAAACAGGTGAACGTACCAGGATGCACAAATTGATCAGAATTAGTTTGGGTCGCTGTTTTTGCCAACAGGGATCTGGGAGGAGCAGGGTGGGAAGCAGAGATTTGCCTTGTTTTTACAAATTGACGTTCATGTCACCTTTGCAAGAAGCAGATGCTCTGAAAACATCCCCAACAGCACCAGATCACCCAAATTCATCACACCCTGCTTCTTTGCTTAAGGTGGCCAGAGATTCTTTATTTATTGTTTAATTTATTAAATATTTGGTCTCTTTGCCTTTTGTAGCAATGGAATGCAATCTGCCTTTTATTATAATTCATTAATTACTCCAAGTTGTGGGAAGATGTCAGTAGATTTGTTTCCTCAGAGTTCTCAAAGGTTTCATTTTTTTAATCCATGAAATACGGACAACTTACTGCAACCCCTTTTTTTTGGTAAAGCCAGCAACTATTTTCAAGAGAGATGTCCAATCCCTGCTAAAGAAGTCTCCTTATTCTAGAAATCATGCAGCTGGCTGCAGAATCAAAAACGTCTCGGAAGGCACATGAAAACAATGCACAGTATGTGCAGAAGATTTGCAGTCAGGAGGTATCACCGAACAACAAGGGCATCACATTCTGCAAAGCAGGTTCTATAAAAATAGCAAGACTTCAAACAAGAAAAAAAAGAAACTACTTAACTGTGGGGAAGAACTTTACAGAAAAAAAACACAAAACCCGGCCTCTTTATGGCTCTGAATTTGAGCTGGGTTTTGGTTAGTTTTGAGTACAGCACGTAAGGCATTCACGTACTGCACATCCATTCCTCACAGCTTATCCACTAGAAGCCAATATAAGATAAATAGAAGTACAGTTGCATTGAAAAGCAAAGATATATCCTACCTTTGAGTCTAGTAAATAGTTGTAAGGCATAAAAATAATATCTGCTTGTTGCTTCAGGCTTCGAGAGAGATAATAAGGACAAGCTCTGTTTAAAAAAAAGTAGGACAAACTATGAAGTAATATTAAGAATGCAGCAAACATTCATGCCCTATGTTTCATACTCTCAAGGGTTTCTAATCACCTTCTTAAGGAGTTGAAACTGGCATGTTTCATTTTAGGGCAGAAGGTTAGCAATACTGGCAAGAAGACAGGTAAAAATAGTGTGGAACACAATACCCAGGTGTGCAGCTCAGCAAAACAAAGACAAAAATCAATGGAGGCAGGAAGACTGGCATTCACCACTCCTGGTCCCTTCCAACCCAAACCATTCCACGGTTATCGTTTCAGCCCCTCTGGCTAGAGGTAGATGCTGCACTAGACTATCTTACCTCAACAAATCAGTCACCTCATTCTTTTAGATCTGAAAGAAAACTGCAATACCAGTTGTCATGTCAGCTGATATTGGTAACCTTGGCTCCAGTGAGAAATAAAATACTGGTGAGCCTGACTCTGACCCGATTCAGACATGACACATCCTCTACCCAGGAAGGATGGAAATAAATTGCTGGATGAGAACTGCCGTGACAGCAGGTAAGGCTCTAGCGCACACATCATTTTGTTGGAAGCTGTCCCTACAACATAGGTAGCCACCCCACTTTGCTCTTGTCACTGTTCAGCTACTTCAGCATATGACAACTTCACACTGAGGTATTAATGAAAATGAGCAGAGGAATAGTTTTCACCAGGGAGAGGAAGGTTCGAGGGGATCATTTACCTGTGCTTGTTCCCATTTTTAACCAAATCTTCAATATCCATGATTGACTCCATTAGTTCTCTCTCTGTACTCTTTTCTGCAAAAAAAATTACAATACAACACCAGTTTAGGTAAAGGTATCGCACAAAGATTTGTTGTTACCCTGATCAGGCTACTCCACCTCCTCACATTTCATTCCTGAAAAACATTAACACAAACACACAGAGAGGCAGATTCTGCCAACCCTTCCAAAGTTCTCCACCTGCCTAGCAAATCTCTCCCTCTCCAAAAACTAGGGCTTTAGATCCACAGGCAAACTCACCTTCCACGTTGTTATAGAAGTGGCAAGCACGAGTCATCACTTTCACCCGGCACATGTAGATCTGCAAAACACAGTACATTTTAGCCAAGAATAAAACAGCTTGTCAAGCACCGAAAAGCGTGTTAAGGAGTGAAGAGCTATCAGTTTTCTGTAACACCAGCTAATGAATAAGTGCTAATGACAGTTCTTCACTTAAAATCACTTATCCCTCTGTCCTCCTTAAAAGTCACCCTCTCTCTTACGCAGCACAGAATGCTCAGATGCAATTTGGTTATCTTTAGCCACTAATATTATTCAGTCATTTTTGATATTCCTTGTAAGAAGAACAGGTAAATCAATCCCTGAAGCATTATTTTGCAATTACTGCTGCTCTTGAAAAACACTTACGTGACAGATCGGAAAGTAAACTTCAAACTATTAACACTCTCTTATGTTCTACACAATGACATCCTTCTCTGGATGGAAAATGCTACCAGAGACGCAGAATTAAATTTTGTGCTCAGAGAACTGGAAACTGAAAGCTCCTCAAAACACATTTTGAACTACTATCTTTCCACCCCTACAGCCTCCACTAGTTAAACAATGCCAGCATTAACTGTTACACACTGTACGCCAAAAGGTGTTCTCGCTGGGAACGCTTTCAAGGCTCTGTTCTCACCTGCATGTGGTTGCTCTCCTGTCGCTTCACTTCAGGATTGATGCAAAGCTGCTCTCTGGAACCCAAAACGCATATCTTTGGCCTGTTCAAACAGAATACACAGAACCGACATTAAAAATAAGGCAAGAAAGAAGAACACGGTTGTACATGTTTACGTTGGCTATCATCTCTCAACAGTGACAGGCTTAGGAGAAACAGATGAGCTCAAAATACGGGTCAGAATCAGATACAATAAGCAAGTTGGCCTGTTTGTAACAGCCATATATGTTACGTGACTTTATGCCACTGCGTTTCTCCTGGCAGCAGTAAGCAGTAGTTTACAGTAGGAGGTAACTACATTACCCCTATGAAATCTGGGTTCTCTTATGACAGTTCAGCCAAGTAAGCTGGGGCCTGTCATCTGTTACAGCTACTCCAGAGCTGGCTGTGAATTTTTGAGTAAGGTTATGACAAGAACTAATGCACTAAGAACATCCACAATACTTTTTTTTGGCTTATTTCTTGTGAAGATACAGCCATGTAATGTATAAACAAGTGGTTATTGCCTGTGCAAAGAGCTCGGTCAATGCACTGGCAAGTCAAGAGCTGGCAACTGTGAAAGATATTGGTAGAGCAAAACCACAGTTGTTCATAGATTTACATCAGCCTAAGGAATTCAGCTGTGTGATGGCTTCCCACTGCCTTAAAGTAATGGCCCAGGAAAAAAAAAAAAAAAGGAATTTCAGAAGCAAACAATATAAAAGAACCAAAACCAAACACAGGAAATTATACCATCAAAGGGATAAGAGAATCTGCGAAGCTTGAAAAACCCCAAACCCAACTGAGAAACCCACCTTCTATACATGCACATTAAGAGAAATACATTTCACTGGATATCAGTTTTTTATACATTTATTCACATAAATTCAAACAATAACTAAACCATATAGGGTTTTCCACCTTTTCTTTGAATAGGAACATTACCCTAAACCATATTTACCTGTAGACTGTGTTCTTTAACTCGTTAATGACCTGTGTAAGTTGTGAGTGAGTTCTGGAGGCATAAATTATTTTGGGAACGTCAGTGTAATAAGCTGCCAAACAGAGGAGAGGAAACAAAACCCAGGACAACATTATTAGCTTGAAAAGAACTAAATATAAACAGCCTCCTTTCCTAGTTGGGACTATGATAACAGGTTGCCTTGTAGAGACAGCAAGAAATTTTGTTATCTAATTATTCACACACACACAATGAGCTAGATGAGTTTCTGGTGTTCTAAGAACAATTAGAAATATGTAAAACACCTTTAAAAAATCTATAAAGTAGTGTGAAACTGTGCTTCAGCCACTATGCGACTCCATGACTTTTATATTTACATGCTTATTAAAAGAGATAGATAAAATCAAGTGTTCATTAACATTCCTGTATCGCTCCTATTCTGCAGAAAAATCACAGCACTCACTTGGGATATCAGCGTCTGTCGCAGCGTTGCCCCAGGTTGACAAGGGTATCTCGGGAAAGAGCTCCACTCCATTCATACGCTGTGCAATTTTGCGGGCTGAGATAGTATCTTTAAAGTGCTCCCGCCAAGCCAGAGTGGAACACAGCAGGCAGAGGGTCTTTCCTGTGCCTGTAGGGCTCTCCAAAATGCCGTTTACCTTCTTTATGGAAAAGAAATAAAAGAGAGGGTGGGAAATGAGTAATTTGGAGATTCAGCTAGGTCTTTGTGCAGTACTGCATATCCTCGGTAAAGGGGCAATCCCTGTCTGCTAAGCTGTATCATACAACAAAACACAGTCATGCCCCACGTATAGTTGTTATAAATGCATGACCCTATAATCAGCTTAGTGAGACTCCATCTAAAACCCAGAGGCCGGTATTATCCGTTATTTAGCTGAAGAATTCTCTGCTCTTAGAGCATCACACTTCAACATAAGCCACCTGAACATATTAGAAGTCACGGCAGATAAAACAGAAAGCGACTCTTGGATTACAGACTGCCAGTTTCCTTCGGAATTAAGGCTGTATCCCGCATCATGGTTTAGTTGGAAAATTCTGCAAACACTTTCAAACACCTAGTCCTACTGGATAGGAAAATTTTCAAGTGTGTAACACTAAAACTCGCAGAAAAACTAGCAGCTGAGCTTGCACTGCCATAGCAACTCATGTTCGAGGGTCTAAAAAGGACGTGCATGTATACAGAGCAGGTTTACAATGCTTTTACTTTAAAACGAGGAGGGATGAAGCAGGCACCAAGCCACTGCCCCATGACATGGAAGAATACTGGAAATCCAAAGCTTCCACAAGTTCATTTAACCTCTCACAAGAATAGGGACCAGAGAGTTATATTAACCAACACCAGAACAAAGATAACTACTATAAAACCCAGTTTCTTACTTGACATTCATTCAGTACAGTTATCATATTGTAGATAAAGTGAAAAACTACACTAATAGTCCAAGGACTAACAATACAAAACCCTCAGATATCCAAAGGACAGACTCCATGGACACAAGGGCTACTCAATCTGCTTTCCTTCCCTCCCAAGTTAAGCAGAACACCCTGCCTACACGGCTACTGGCTGCCACCTGCTCTTTTCTGGGCTTTTTATAACTATAAATTAAGATAAAAGTACAACAAAAGGTCAGGATAGACTTGGAGAAGGTGGGATACGGGCAACAAAACATAGAGGTAACTTGCAACAACCTCTTTTTTGGGGAGCCCTTTACCACTGCTATAAATAAACCGCAGTGAATGGGCCAAACGCCTCCGGGCAGGAGGCACTCACCTTCTGCAGACACTCGATCACCTTGGCCATGTAGGCTTCCTGGCACTTGTAGGGCTGGAAGGGGAAATCCACCGTGATGCCGTTCAGCGTTATCCTGGGCATGTTTCCCGTCAAGTGCCTGCAACGAAGCGCAGCCCCGTGATTTACCCTACGCCGCGGCGGGAGGGTGCCGTACGGCCGGTGTCACGGAGCGCAGCGACCTGGGATCGGAACAGGTCCATTTGCAAGATGAGATACCCAAAGGGCCGGTTTCCGACCCGCACTTCGGGCCATGGCGTTACGAGCGGACCCGCACCGCGGCCTGGGCAGGAGGCTCACGGGCACCCGAGGCCTGGCCGCGGCGATGCAAAGGAGACGGCCCGGCCCG